CCAGATGAACAGTGAAGTGGGGCCTCACTGGATGCTTGACCTGGACATGTTCAGGGGAAGAGAGGCGATGTCGGGAGTCGTTTGCCACCCCTAGTGGCACCAGTTACTGACGGTGGATGAGCTCATCTACCGAGAGTTCTGCGTAGAGTTCTAGTCCACCTTCTCCCACGTGGTCTTGTTGAGTAAGCGGAGTCAGCCCCACGTGCAGTTCATGCTGGAAGGTCAGCTGCGGGTGCTGACATACGATGCTTTCACTTAGGCCATGGCGTTGGACCCCACAGACATGACGATGACAGAGTGGCAGTACACTGTCGACTTCCGTTATCAGGCAGCGTTCCAGGCCCTCAGCCGCCCCGAGAACCTGCATGATGAGTTCGAGGGTGGCCACTTTGAGGTGGACCTGACAGGGTGCTCCATCATTGGCCGAACCGAGCCATTCCTAGTAGAGACCCTTTAGAACATGAAGTTGGTGCTTCGTGGAGAGCGAGGGATTGAGTACCTTGACGAGCTTCGAACTTCAGTGGCCCTAAGGCCGAGAGTCGATCATGCTCCAGTGGAGGCCGATCTAGAGGTCCCTTCTCTAGAGAAGCCACCTGCTCAAGCTCGCGGCCACGGTCGGTGTCCTGCACTCCAGCGTCCTGCACCACCACCTGCAGCATCATCATCATCAGGAGTCGGTCCTTCCACCTCCTGGGTGCACCTCGTGGCGAGGATGGGCCGCCTTGAGACCCACGTAGTGGGAGTCACTTCCCGGCTCGACCGCACACCAACCTGCTAGAGCGGATAGCTTGTCGCCAGGACCTCCTTTTAGATGATGAGCCAGGATCTTCGACACGTGATGAGGTAGCCGACGAGTGAAAAATGTGGCAGAGCCGATTCCTTTCGCCCCACTTCTCCACTTGGAACTCTGAACTCTTTTATCTTTTATTTTGTTTTTCTTTCTTTTATTCGGTGTGTGTGTGTGTGTGTGAACAACTACTACTATCATATTGTTGTGTGTAATAACCTCGCCTCGAGCAAGTATGTGTTTGTGCTTGTTTTTGTCTTCTCTTTGAAGCTCCAATCTCCTACCCTGGAAAAAAATTTTACTACTTTCACTCACTAAGCCATGCGGTAACATCGTACTACCCCTATCTTACGTCATTGAGGGCAATGTCGAGCTTAAGTGTGGGGGGTAATTTATTATTATGCTTGCGTGAGTGTGATTGAGTGCTTGGAGCCTTGATGTATGCCAAATTTGAAATATTTGAGGGCTCCAAGCAATGCTTGCATGATCAAAGTGGCCAGTTTGTGGGAGAATCTCGTGTTTATTGGCATTGACCTTGAACAGTTGCATATGATCGAGGGTGTCCTTTCATGATGACTGAGAAGTGCATTAGGATAGTGCAAAGGTTTAGCTCTCATGAGTGCAAAAATGAATGGATGTCTTGACTCGATTACTTGTTAATTAGTAATTACAATTGTCATGCATTGTGTTTTGTGAATTGGAATAGAAGGTTGGGTGACTAGGTAGCCATGTGAGTTTTAAGCCGATCGTTTTCTTCTTGTGTGCTTAGATCCCTCTTACCATGGTGAGTAACATCACAGTTGTCACTAGTGATTACGATGGAGGCATAGGATTAGTCTACGCCCAAATGTTGATTGTCCCGAAATGTTCTATCCCCAAGTCGACCCCTTTGAGCATTGTGACTTTGGGGGTCGTTCTCTTGTAGGAGCTTTTCGCTCGTAAGCTTATTGGTGTTTGATAGAACGACCCCTTATCCTTTCTTCGTGTCTATATGTGAGTCGTCCTTGTGTCCCGAAGCTCGTGTTTAGGAGCTCCAATGAGGTTCTACATAGGAGGATTTGGTGCGGTTCTTGCTAGGAATGAAAGAGAAAAGATTAGTGTTGGAGTAAGTTCTTAAAAGAGAGCATTGGTTGTTCAATGTAATTTGCCAAGTGTTATACTCTCTAGTACCCCCTCAATAGAAAAGAAAGTAGAAAAGGGAAGTAGAAAGAAAACGAATAAAAAAAGAGGTAATAAAACGGGATAAATAAAGTAGAGAGTGCCACAACAATAAAAGTGTATGCTCTAGGAGGGGTTTCTTGGCACTCAAGCCATTGAAACACCCACATTGTTGTTGAACTCCTTCGGCTTTAAAGTGAAGATGTAGGATCTCATGTTGTGTTTGCCACCACCCAAAATGCATTTTCCCCATGTCCAAGACAATTGCCAGTCATTTGAACCCGTGTCTAAGACCTCCCGACAAGCTAGTGATGACAACCATTCCGTGAACTCTAGCATTTAGAGGTTGCCGCCATGGTGAAGAGACGATAGGGCCGAGTGTTGATGATTGTGCACATTTTTTGCACCAAATGGTCCCGACCCTAATGGTGAAGAGAGTGAGTGATTCATTCTTGCTTTGCATGTCATATCATACCCCGGTGAGGACCTTTGTTGCCCATTCGTTCGTTCATTGGACTTAAATGTTATGCATGGTTAGTTCTGATGGATGAGTGATCTTGTTGAGACTTGCATTGATTCATGAACAAGGTGAGAAATTTTTGTTTGTCGGTTTTTTATGGTCTCGAATGTCGTTTGTGGTGGATGTCGGTATTGCTTGCAATGCTCCATGTGTTAATTGCCAAATACCATTGAGATCCCCCCCACTTTGTGCCCTTTCAGTTGTCCAAAAGGTCTTTTGTTAGGTTGAGATATTACCTAGTGTGAAATGGTTTGGTTGGGGACAAGCAAACATCTAAGTGTGGGGAGTGATTCAGGCCTAAATGTACATTTTTTATCCCCGTTTCTCTTTGGAATTTGTGGCATTTGAGCTCCATAGAGGGTGGTTTTATGCTAGTTTGCTGTCTTTCAATCTGTTTCAGAGTCTAACTGGTTGAACCAAACCCGGAGTTGAAAGTTGGAAGAAATGGCACGAAGACCGGGCAAAGAGGAGGAAACAACCGCTGTTCACGGTCCAAGCTGTGAGTTCACGATCGCCAGGACCGTGAACTGGATCCATGAATAGTGAACTGAAGGGTGACCAAAGAGGTTTGACAATTTACTGACACAAAGTGAGTTCACGGTCGTAAGACCGTGAACTTAAGCCATGGACCGCGAACTCATCAAATGAAAGTAGTGCGTTTTGGCTGTGTTCACGGTCCATGCCAGATGTTCACGGCCGTTAACTGGGGCCGCGAACTGGGATCGATCAGTGTATAAAAGGAGAGATGAAAGGAAGAATAGGGGGAGCCAAAAAAGTGAGAGAAACCTTCTTCTTCTTGAAACCCTCGACAGAAAGTCACAAACCAATGGGGAGAAGAGGCTAGGGTTTGCTCCAAGTCAAGAATTGGGATGTTCCTCTTCAAGAGAGGATCTCTAGAAGCACAAGGAAGGATTGAGGCATCACAATGATGGTTTTTTTCCTTTTTTCCTTTGGGTTCTTCCTTCTTCTAGCATGGAGTATTCTCCTATTCACTTGGGTGTTGTAGAACCCTAACTTCTACCATGTAGTTGATTGTGTGGATTGAATGATTGTGTGTGGGTAATGTTTAATATAAGATTTGAGGTATTGTTCATGATGATTGTGCATTGTGTGTGCTTGGCAATCTATTGTGCTACCCTAACCTAGATAAGAGAGAAGCCCCCTTTCCTTAAGAGGCTCAAATGGAGTTGGCTTTTCTTAGGCATTCCATGCCTCCTAACTAGGTTAATGTAAGACAAACCTCTAAACTCAAATTAGACATCTAGGTTAATTGTGATTAAGCCATCCAAACCCCGGTTTGAGGGAGAAGGTAATTCAACCCTCTCTTGCTTGGGCCTAGAGGGCTACTTTCGTAGCCTATAATGCATTCCTTGGCCTAGCGATTGAGAGTGTGGTTTCCAACCACTGTTGCTCCTCCTACGGTTCGCAATCGCCTTGTTGCACACCTATTCATTTGATCCCATTGTTCATGGTATTTAGTTAGGGGTCAACAAATCCAGAATGAACCTTCTCACCAAGAGTTTCAACCCTTTTACTTCTCAAGCCTTGAACTTTTAATGGTAGATTTTAGAGATTCTTACAAACTTCATTCCGCTAGATAATGTTTCAAACAATTGAAGTAAGGGTACATGGACCGGACCGGGTTGATATTAAAACATACTTGCCCTATATTGCACCCATTTAAGGTTTATACTTAGGCCTTAGATGGGATTTAAGTGTGATATTCGGAGCGAGTCAAGTTTTTGGCGCCGTTGCCGGGGAGCTTCGGTCCGTTTCTTGAAAAGATTTTTTGGTGTTAATCTAGCTTTTACTTTGATTTTTGATTTTGTGAAGTGTTGCTTGTGCTAGACGTGTTGTGGTTCTTTTAAGTGTGTGTAGGGTAGTGCATGACCCGGAGCAATCCGGCACCTTTAGCGCCACTCGACGAGGATCTCAATCGCACTCTCCGACTCTTGGCTCGTGAGAGAGAGTTAGGGGAAGCAAGTAGGAGAATTGAATAGATGGGACATCAAGTTGGTCCCGCATTTGGAGGAGTTGAAATAGAAATTGAAGTTGAGATGACGGGGAATCAACATCGAGGTGCTAATCCGCTTCGGAACCGAAATGAGGAAGCGGGAGCGGAGGAAGAATCACTTTCCCATGGGGTTTTCTTATATTCTAGTTGTTGTTTATCTTCTAGCTATGGAGTAGTTACTTTATTCACTTGGATGTTAAGAACCCTAGCCTAAGATGTTGTATATTGTAGTTTGCAAACTCATTTTGTTGATGGGTAATGTGATTAATATATTGATTGAGGTATTTTCATGCAAATTGATTGTTCTTGATCAAATCCCTCAATTTTGAGGCAAATTGACCTAGGAGGGAGAAAATCCCCTTAGCTCAATTTGTGTCACTCCTCAATCGTCGTAGAGTAACTTGAATCATTGTGTTTGGTGACTATATGTTATTCCAGGTTAATCTCTGTGGGAGTGGAATCGGGAAAAGATAGTATAACAACAGTCTGTATGTTGTTACAGTACCAACAACAATCATTAAGGACAAAAAGGTAATTTAATATAAAAAAATAAAATTAAAATCTTCTACATCGCTAATTCCCGATGCCCCAATTTTCCCTTCCCATATCTGGGTTTCCTCCGTCTCCGCCTAGCTTTTTTCCTCCGTCTGTCTTTCCTTCTCTGTTCCGGCACCGATCAACCTCCACACGAGCCTTCCACCGACGATTCCCATCACCGACAATCAAGAGTACATCGGCGCCCGATTCCCCTCCTTCGACGCTGGCGCTCTTCCCCGCCGATCCCGCAGCCGCCGCGATCCCAATTTTCCCTTCCCACATCTGGGTTTCCTCCATCTTCGCGCAGCTTTTTTCCTCTGCCTCTCTTTCCTTCTCTGTTCCGGCGTCGATCAACCTCCACACGAGCCTTCCACCGACGATCCCCATCACCGATGATCAAGAGTACGTCGGCGCCCGATTCCCCTACTCCGCCGCTGGCGCTCTTCCCCGCTGATCCAGCAATCGCCGCGATCTTGACGCGCATGCGGTGGATCTTGAGGTACTAGTAAAAGGCGGTGGCGAGGAGGCAGGCGACGAGGGAGAGGGAGTAATCGACCCATGATTTAGTGATCCTCCGACGAGCAGGAATCAATTAGGGTTTTTTTGTCCCAATCTTGAGACCAGGTAGTTACCCTTTTGTTTTATAATTATAATTGTAAAGGCGGCAATGATGATCATATATAGAATGATTTGTTTTTTTCTCGATGAATCATGTAGAACGATTTCTCCCTTGGTTCCTTCGGTAAAATTGGAGTTTTTTTTCTCTCGAAAATCTCTCATCCAAGAAAGATATTTGGAAACTATAAATGAGACTGTATAACGGAGAGAGAGGAGGAGGAAGAACAGAGAATGAGAGAGAGGAATGATAACATGATCACTTGAGATCAATTGTCCCTAAGATAAACGAAGTTTATCATATTTTTTTGTTTTATGATGTATTAGAACATAAGTATTTGAAGTAAAACAGAAACACCACAAAGTGAGCCATAAAATTTTTAAAGCACACCAAAAACCTTATTATACAAACCATAACTCTACTAAAACAAACCAAAAACACCACAAAGCACACCAGAAACTTCATAAAACAAACCACAAACACTATAAAACAAACCACAAAAAAGCATACCAGAAACCTCCCAATGTATGCCACAAATTCTCGAAAACAAACCAAAAAACCTACAAACCAAACTACAAATATTTTGAAAGCACATCAGAAAACTCATAACGCAAACCACAAACACCGTAAAGCAAACCATAAAAGCAAACCAGAAACCTTCTAATGCAAACCACAAATATATTAAAACAAACCAGAAACCTCTCAATGCAAACCACAAAATTTTTGAAAGGAAACCAGAAACTTCTTAATGCAAACCACAAACACGATAAAACAAACCACAAAAGGCATACAAAAATATGAGAAACCAAACCATAAATCTCACAATGCAGACCATAACATCCGGTGGTCATTGGCCGTTGACCGGTCAACGAAGACCGTTGACCAAACTGCGATGACTGTCAGTGACTGGATTCCGGCGCCGATAGGCATATTCCTGTCCCGATGACTAGATTCCGACACCGGTAAGCATATTCCGACCACGATGAGCATATTCCGGCGACTGTGAGCATATTCCGATGACAAAATAGCATATTCCGGCTACAAAAAAGCATATTCCGGTGACCACGACCAGATTCCGGCGACCAAAATTTTGTGCGGAAAATAAAAAAATATTTATTATTTATTTTATTTTATTTATTATTATTATTTAAACATATTTTTCAAAATGACAATTATACCCCTGCTCTGATTTTACACTAGGTCAACCCAACTAATGAAAAGTCATCACAACCCTAGCTTCCTATTGGTTGGAGACTAGTGTTGTTACAATAACAACAAATATGGTGTTGTCACCATATCCGCTCCCAATGGAATCAGTTGCCTTAGTCGCCTTTTGTGGTTGCATGGTACGCCCCTCCGATTAGATCGATTAAGCGGGCTAGGATGCACTCGAATAGGGATCCTAGCTATTTTTTATCTTCTAATGGTATATGAATGTTGCTTACATAACACACTAGAGTATTACATTTGCATCTCAACATGGGACAGGGGGAATAACGTTCGTGTGAACTTTTCTCAATTGAATTCAACATTGTTTTAATTGCTTGCTTGTTTAGTTAATTAGCTTTAACAACAATTTGATTTTTAGATAATTAGTAGACGGCTGAAGTAAAGGTATACATCAGGTGGGTGGATATTTGAAATACTTCCTCTATCCTACATCGGGTTATAGGTTACACTTGGCTTATGATTGGGATTGAGTTGTAGTGGTAACGAGTCATGGACCATGAAGTAACATCCACCTTAGTCTCCACCTTGCACCTTTTACCCCACATTTTGATTTGTGAACATTATGCTTGTGGTAGAGGTCACGATACAAGGAGAGTCTCATGTATTCCCCTCTTTCGGTTAGATTAGATGTATTCCCCTCCTAGGGTTCGAGTAGTGCTAGGGTTATGTGTTAGGTTTTTCTAACATATATAGAAGGTTCTACCATACCTTGGGTAAAATCAAAGGTATGGCATACCTTGAGTTAGAAAATGATATATAAACCTTGAATTGACCGAAGTTTGGCATATGGCACTATTCTCAAACCCCTAAAGATTAAAATGTAGGTCTTAATTCTATAAATCTCATACACTAGGATCAATTTAATTGGAAACAAAAAGCGACGGTTATGATTCGTTGAAATATATGCAAAAATTACATGCAAAATCTTGGGGGTTAGACCTTATGATTTAGATAACTAAGACATAGGGTTCACTCATCAACGGTTAGGGTATAGTACCATGCCCAAAAATCTGGTTAATTCAAGGTCTATATAGCATTTTCTTACTTAGAGTATGGTGTACCTGTACGATAGAAGCCACCATGTGTGTGTGTGTGTGTGTGTGTGTGTGTGAGTTCGGCATTAGTTCTGGTTATCATTCGAATAATAAACCTAAAAAGTCTTTCGACACTTTACGTCGTTCTCTCGCTTGTGAGTTACAAGCAAACCCTGGGCTCGTGGTTAACGGGTTTCCATCAATTGGTATCAGAGCCTGGTTATGCTCGAAATCAGAGCATGGTGTTCTACGTGGGCGCCTACTGCGCCTCGGCAGAACGGACGACTGCAACCTGTCAAAACATGGAGGCAAGGATCAATGCTTTGGAACAACTAGTGGTGGGGTTTATTCTCGAACGCGTGACCATCATAGGCAGGAAGCGAAGAGATGATAACGTGGCCCGCATTGATGCCAATGAAACCAGGGTGGATGTAGATGTCGAGATCTCCGTCAACAAGATCGGCGGGGTGGAAACAGTACGCAAGGGTGATTATCACCTATGCGAGGCTCTTACCCAACGATCTAGAAGCGATGGGAAGGAAACAATGTGTCGTGGTGGTCACCACCTCGACGAGGCTCTCACTTATCGATTCGGAAGCTGTGAGAAGGTGGAACTCAAAGCTCTAGCTATGTCCCGGATAGCGGGATCGGCAGTTTGCGGCGAGAAAGCTTTGCGATCGATCAATGAGCCGCCGAAAGGGAAGAAACAATTGGTATTGTCCTCGTGTGCTCACGATGATGGGTTCTTGGTTCCTAATTATCATTTGAAATTTAGAAGGAAAGAGGGGCATAAGGAGAAAAAGAGGGAAGGAATTGTGTCTGGGTGGGATTCGTGTACTGTTGGTGGAATTATGGGTTGTATTGGACGAATAATTGTGCCCGAAAGTGGATTATGGACTAGAGGTATAGAATGCGGCGGCGACAAGGCATTGGGAAGAAAGTTTATGGGAGGGACGAATGGTCTATGGGAGCTGGAGATAGTCGTGCTTGGGTGTCGCCTGAGTTGAAGGAACAAAGGACTAAACTAGGTCATAGATATTCTGATTTTCCGGCAGATGGCGTTGTTAGGCAGCAACCAATACTTGTCCTGCCAAAGGTAGGGAAGAGAACAAGAAGGAAGCCTCATGAGATGTCGTCCGGAGCTATGAACTGGAAGTTCCAGAAGCGAAGCAAGCCTCGTCGCAAGAGCTACCGTTGTTATCAATGTCGACCTTCGCGCCTCGACATTGTCCGAACCTTGGGAACAAGGTTCTTTGAGGGGGAATGATAGATGGCAAATAAATTTTGGGGCTTTTTGGTTAGTACGCTTAGTGTGTATATTTGTTTAATTACTTATACTTATGTCTTTGAGTTAGGAGATTTAGCTTGGAGTTATGTAACTAATAGGTTGCATGGACCAATTAGTATGTTATGGAAGAGTTAGATTAGTAGGAGTCTATGTTAGGTTCCAAGTGGGCTAGGTTAATTAGTAGGGTACGGGTAGTGCTAGGGTTACGTATTAGGTTTTTCTAACCTATATATATGGGCAGTTGTACGGTACCCAGGGAGAATCTAGGGTACCGCATACCTTGAGTAAGAAAACACTATCCAGAACTTGATTTGACTGATCTTTCGAACATGATGCTATACTCTAACCCTTAAAGATTAAAATCTAAGTCTTAATTCTCTAAATCTTACACCCCCAAGATCAATTTAATTAGAAACAATAATCGACGGTTATGATTTGTCCAAATATAGGCAAAAAAATCAATGCACCATCTTAGGGCTTATAGATTATGATATAGATAATTAGGACCTATGGTGCCTTCTACGGTACCCTGAGTGAAATCCAGGGTACCGCATACCTTGAGTATGAAAATGCTATCTAGACCTTGAATTAACAGGATTTTTGGGTCTATATATATATATATATATATGTATGGTGGCTTCTATGGTACCTCGGGTGAAATCCAGGGTACCGCATACCTCGAGTATGGAAACTCTATCTAGACCTCGAATTAACAGGATTTTTGTGTATGATATTATACCCTAACCCTTAATGAGTGAACCCTAGGTCATAATTATCTAAATCATAATCTATAAACCCTAAGATGGTGCATTCCTTTTTTGTGCCTATATTTGGATGAATCATAACCGTCGATTATTATTTCTAATTAAATTTATCTTGGAGTATAAGATTGGGAGAGTTAACACCTAGATTTTGATCTTTAAGTGTTAGAGTATAGTATCATGTCCGAAAGATTGGTCAATTCAAGGTCTAGATAGTGTTTTCATACTCAAGGTATGCGGTACCCCGGATTTCACCCAGGGTACCGTAGAACTCGCCATATATATATTAAGGGTTATGGTGCCTTCTACGGTACCCCGAGTGAAATCCAGGGTACCGCATACCTTGAGTATGAAAATGCTATCTAGACCTTGAATTAACAGGATTTTTGGGTCTGATACTATACCATAACCCTTAATGAGTGAACCCTAGGTCCTAATTATCTAAATCATAATCTATAAACCCTAAGATGGTGCATTCCTTTTTGTGCCTATATTTGGACGAATCATAATCGTCGATTATTGTTTCTAATTAAATTGATTTTGGAGTATAAGATGGGGAGAATTAAGACCTAGATTTTGATCTTTAAGGGCTAGAGTATAGTATCATGTCCGAAAGATCGGTCAATTCAAGGTCTAGATAGTGTTTTCATACTCAAGGTATGCGGTACCCCGGATTTTACCCAGGGTACCGTAGAACTCGCCATATATATATATATTTC